AAACCAGTTCGAACCACATCCCAAGTAATTGGAGTTCCTGCAGTCTCTAACCTCCGGCGACTGTTGTCCCACCAAGCTTCAGCTTCACCCTCTAACATGTGAGTACCGAACCTCACCTTTTGCTCATCGTTGCACCCTATCATTCTGAAGATCTTCTCTATCGCCTTCAGCCATTTCTGCGCCGCTTCAGGATCTAAAATTCCTCCTTGAAACGTCGGCGGCTTGTTGCTCTGAAATTGCGCCAAATCCCTGAATTGCGCACCTGCAGCGTGGTTCTGATTAGCAACCACATGCGCCATCGCTTGCATAGCTGCAACCAACGCAACATCATTCCTTCCCGCCATACTGCTCAACAACAACAATGCCAGGTTAACAGAAAAACAAACTCTATCCTATAGACAGACTCAACTACCACACTGGCCGGACGGATCGACCTGCTCTGATACCAACTTGTAACACCCCGTTCCCCAAAATACAATAAATGCAATTGAAATGAACAAATATCAGAGTCACCACAGATAAAACGGATGTCACGGATGAAACCAAAAAAAACATTATCATTAAATTATTTTCAACAAATATTAAACAGCGGAAATATCATCATATATACATATGCACATCATATACATCATGTACAGCCAATGCCCAAAATATACAAAACATCAGTCACAGATCCGACAAAACATGATACGCCACAGGGCACACAAAATCATCAAATAAACATAAAACTTTCCCAAAGCCCCGGTGTTACGTATCAGAGCATCCCTACGACTCGATCTCCACAATCCAAGCTAGCTACGCACCTGGATCATCTGTACTTTCGAAGAAGCACAGACCATAACAACACCAAGGACAAGGGGTGAGAAATCACAATAAAAAATATAACGGCAATAATGTACATGAATAAAAGGCAGTAAACATATACAATATCAATTCACATACATCAGCCCGGACCTACTGTCCCACACCAACACAACATACAAAACAATGCAACACATGCAACTCAACACTATGATATGCGGTACCGACTCAAAATCAGGATAGATCGCATACACTCCATCCGAGCAACGATCTATCCCTACAAGCTCCCCTTTGGAGTATGGGCAAATAACCCGGAATAGATCACATACACTCCACCGAGCAATGATCTATCCCTAACACGCTCCATCTGAGCACAATCAAACTCAGGATAGATCACATACACTCCATATGAGCAACGATTTATCCCTACCACGCTCCTCCTGAGCACGCGAGTGAATCACATACACTCCACCGAGCAATGATTCACCCCGTCATTATGCTTATGCAAGACCCAAATGCACACAACAACCACAAGCACACACGGTGCACACGATCCTCCGATCACATTTCATCATACATCATATATATATATATATATATATATATATATATATATATATATATATATATATATATATATATATATATATATATATATATATATATATATATATATATATATATATATATATGTATATATATATACATCACGCATCACCACAATCATGTATAATAACCTACATTAATTCAATTATCCAAATTAAATGAATATCAAGAAAATCACATTCCACACCTCACATACACTCTTAACTGATCAACATCAATCATATATTCAGTCACGACCAGCAAGGGTCCAACAACGTAAGAGAATAGAACAGCACATCACACAACACAAAAATACTGTCATGCTCGCTAGCTCACTCGCTAGGCGAAGCATCAGCGAGTGTTTGCTACTCGCTCGCTACGCGAACTCCCTCGCGAGGCCAAACAAAGGCTACTGGGAGCACTCGCTACCCAGTTTTCTCAACGAATCCTTAGCGATGGTTCGCTACCAGCTCACTCAGCGAAGCAGCTGGCGAACGTTTGCGATTTCAGAAAAATAAACTACAGCTCAGAGTCGGCAAAACTCTCTGAAACTCAATCGATTCTCCTCGACTTAGTCCCCATAACATCGGCTCAACATCCAACAACTTAATTACAACATTATTTCTACATTCCACCTAATAAAACCTCAGCTCTACTCAATTAAGCAATTTCGGCACAAAACCGTAAACTATCTGAAATCCTCAAATCTCCCAAACAATCGCATGCAACAAGCTGATCACAACAACATCAACATTCAGAATCATACAACACAATAAGCATGATCATCAACTTATGGGGTTAGGGAAATCCCATCTACCTAGCATTCATGCACTCTACCGATTTGACCCGATTATCTCCCCCCCTTACCTCGATAACTCGAACAAGCTGGAGAAACTCTTGAAGAATCAGAATCCTAGCTTCCTCTTGATTCTTCTCCTTCAACCTGCTCCCAATTTGCCTTGTTTTTCTTCCTTTTCCAAAATTCCTCTTGATCGTGCTTGATCTTCCAAACGTGTTGTCTCTCTTCTCTCTATTTCCAAATTCCCAAACAACCCTCTTAATCCAAATTCCTCTTATTCCTATTTTCTTATTCCAATTTTTATTTTCTCAATAATAATATTATTAATAACAATGATAATAATAATAATAATAATAATAATAATAATAATAATAATATCACTATTAGTCATTAAATTATCATTATCACTAATAATTTTATTATTAGTCTTAAAGTCCAAAATTAGTAAATAATCTCCATACTCAAGAGCTACACACGATCGCACTCAAACACCTCCACAAAACACACCGAAAATAAAAACACACAGAAAAACGAGGTAATTAAAATGGGCGTTACATCAGGCACCAAGAAGAACCATACCTAAGATACCCATAAAGAGAAAAAATAATTAGGATGTTGCTTGTTGTAGTTTGATAAACTAGGATCATGCATTTTGGATGTTGTTTTTGTATTTATGATGCTATGTTGCTGACTTATAAATATGTATTATGGATTATGATTATATATTTTGGATGGCTACTATATATTTTGGATGGATACTTTATGTATTTTGTTTGGTTTAATGAATAATATTAAGGCTTTATCATTTTTTTAATTAATTGCCTTTTATGTTTAATAAGGAATCTTGTGATATTCTGTCCAATTTCCGGGTCCATTGTTTTTACAGTAAACTCAGTTGTAAAACACAAGTCATTGAAGTCTCTTTTAGTGTAACAAATATGTCCTTTAAGTCTTCTTTAGTGTAACAAATATGGGTACAAACTATGTCCTTATTGCAACATAAAATCGACAGAGTTTAACAACATCAAATTGGACAAAAACATATCCTTTAAAAGTGCTTACTTCAACATCAAATATGGGCATAAATTAAACATCATCATTGAAGAAAGTCATTACAACATAACATTAACGGATTGTCTTACAACACTAACATTAACATAAACCATAATCACCACTTATTTATCAAAATACACATCAACATTACAAAAATCATAACTAAAAACATTATGAGAAAGGCTAGCATCTTCAACATGTTCTTCATCATCTCCTTTGTTTAGTTGTCATCATCTTGAAGATTGACACTGTTGTATTTATGTTTGCCCTTCACCATTGCACTCTTCAAACCACTCAAAATAGTTGCAGTCATAGTTTGAACCTTCAGTCCATTAACATATAACAATTAGCATTATTGAAAAAGACATAGAAGAAGATAACAATAAACATACCACAAAGTATCTGCAACTCCAAAATAACTCCCCAAAATTTCGTCTTTTCTTCATAACTGTTTGTATCATTACTTTGCCTCCAAAAGGACACCTTGGTGCGATTTCACCATGAGTTGCACTCGAAATGAAGGAATGACAGTTCAGACTTTGTAAATTAGACCCATTTGTATCGTATGAATCCATTATTGCAGAAGGGAGAAGATGAATTCGATTGGGAGAAAAAGAACACAACTTTAAAGATTTTATGGAGAGAAAAGTGATTTTATCAAATTATTTAAAGATGAATTAAAAACAATTACATCTAAACAACGTAACAGTCACATAAGCAACATTAATGACAACTATGTATTTTTAGAACAAAATCATTAAAAAAAACCAACGATGTAGACGTCATGTAACTTAAATGACTAACTTGTAGAATTTTTTTTTAAAAGACCAGTCTATTACAATTAAATAATTTAAAAGATCTTTGGTGTAATTTTGCTAAAAATTAAAATAGAATAAATTTGAAATTCATATGACGAGCACCTATTCTAGTTCTAATTTAAGGCTATGTATGAATACGGAATGGAACGTAATGGAACGCAACGAAATGGAGTGTAACATAATAAAATGATATCAATAGAATATAATGGAACACAACGAAATGGAGTGTAACATAATAAAATAAAGATATCATTTTATTATTTAAGTATTTCATGACGGAAGAGAGCAAATTTATCATTATCTCAAAATTAAAAAGTACAAAAGCATAATGAAATGCGATGAAATGCATTCTATTCCCTCTATTTTAATTAATTTAAACCACATAATTTAAGTTTATTCAATTTCATCTCATATGTCATTCCATCATTTTTCAAGAATACAAATTTATATAGGTTGACATTATTGTGTAAACTTTGTTATTATATTCATTAAAAGAAAATTAAGACTGTTATTTTGAAACAGCTAAAAATTGATTAGCAAAGATTTGAAAAAAATTATTTATCGCACACTAAAACTCACCCAGTGAATCCTCCCTCCCAAATCAAATCGCTCCTCTCAGAGCATTCCGCCGCCCTCCCCACTGCCCGGTCATCCTCTCGCGATCAACTCATCCGCCGTTTTCCCTCATCATCTCCCGTCCTCGTTCTCAGCGCTTGTAAGTCGCTCCACTTCTCTATTTCGTTTTATCGTTGATTTCTGATTTATTACGATGTGCTTTCGTTTAGGTTTATCGTGAAATTTGTTATGAAACGGTGATTACACGTAGTGCACCATTTAGCAGTAAAGCAGAAAGGGTAGCTGATAGTAGTGCGCACTTTTCTTTCTTACATGGGTAATCTAAAAAATCAAATTGATTTCTCAGTTTTTTGGCTTTCTTTCTAGGAATGGGTCTTCTCACCATCATTCGGAAAATCAAAAAGAAAGAAAAGGAAATGAGAATTCTTATGGTGTAAGTTTATCTTCCAATTCCTTGTCCATTGCTCTAGATTTTACTACATTAATTAATAGTTGAGATTTATACGCAGTGGGTTGGACAATTCTGGAAAAACTACAATCGTGTTGAAGATTAATGGGGAGGACACTAGTGTCATCAGTCCTACCCTTGGCTTCAACATCAAAACCATCGCCTACCAGAAGTAAAACCTTGCTTTATTCTAAGAACATGATAGTTTTTGTATTTGCTTGTGATTTCCCTTTACAAAATAAATTGCTTTTGATGAGTTTCTTGCGTTGATTTACTATATTCTAAAATGCTGGGGCATTTATTGAAATTGGCAATGGCAGGTACACTCTAAATATATGGGATGTTGGAGGCCAGAAAACAATTCGATCTTACTGGAGAAACTACTTTGAGCAAACAGATGGTTTAGTTTGGGTAGTTGACAGTTCAGATCTTAGAAGGTTGGATGATTGCAAAATGGAGCTTGATAACCTTCTAAAGGAAGAGGTTTGTTCAATACAAATAGTTATTACCTGTCAACGTAACAAATTAATTACATGTAGTGCTTAACTGAAGATATTCAGACATTTTAGGCATACCAATTCATATCCCTTTATTTGATGTATTGATTGGGAAAGACTTGTGTCTCCTTGTGCTAATGCATCCATCCAAGTTGAGTAGTTGCCCAAAGAATCTGTTAGGAATTTTAGTCAAGAACCACAATGCCTTTGGTGGATGCAGCAAATCCTGTTTATTCCATTAGTTGTTAGTTCCCGTTTCTTATGATAACATGTTCGATTACCTTATTGGGGAAATATTTTTTTAGTGGGAGTACCAAAGCAATCGTAACTCGTAAGTAGGGTTGTTCATGGTATGGTTAGTGAGAAAACTGAACTGAACCGAACCAAACCATAGAAAAAATGTACTTGAACTGAACCGTTTCGGTTTACTCAAAACTATACCATTAGCTCAATTCTCTCGCACTTGAACAGAATGCTTTATTTCCTCAAAACCAGCTATAAGTATTTCTCATTGTTAAATCATTTGGGATGCTCATATGACATCCCAAATGAATATGGCGCTCTTCTCTGGGTGTTTGTGAGCTACTAGTATTTTCAAATGTCAATAATTTTGTTTTATGTATACAGAGACTGTCTGGAGCATCCTTACTAATTCTAGCAAATAAACAAGATATTAAAGGCGCCTTAGCACCCGAAGAAATAGCTAAGGTAAGCTTAATTTTATCTGGGTTTTCTTCTTTTACCTAACTAACATTGAAGGGATTATGACTAAAAAAATACATGATATATGAAAATTGACTGTAAGTTAACTCAGTAATCGCATTTCAAATCACTGCAATTATGGATATACACCTCCATAAGATATCTACCATTGTGTTGGTGTTTTTGTTTTAAGTGCGAGCATAGCTAATAACCACCAAACAATCCATATTTTTCTTTGAAACTTTCAAATTGGTGATGATCAATGTTAGAATGTTTTTCCATTTGTGGTACTATCCTATTCATACATTCGTACATTCTATGTAGAACTTATCATCAATAATGAATTTAAAAGCATAATGTAAGATGGGCACTAATTTAGGCATGTTTGAAGTAATGTTTAGATCACGTGTGAGTCTAATTTGTGTGCTTTAGCTCTGTTCAGAATTGAGAGTAGTTTGTTATTGATTCTGCATTTTTTGCTAGAAAACCTTGTGTTTACTTTTAGAGTAGTGGCTGCCATTTCAATATGTAACTTGGTTTTTTGGTGGTTGAGGGCTGCTGTTAGATTCATTTGTGACAGTTTAGTTTCAGTTAATGGACCTATTATACTATTGTTGAGCCTGCTGTCTAAGTTGGTTATATTGGCCAGCTTGATTTCCCATTTAAGAGCTTGTAGTATTGGCTGCTAAAGCCTGGATCTCACACCAAGTTGTAGTTGATGGCTGTCATTAGGACAGTTTGTGGATGTTTGTCCCTTCTATACTACTGTTAGAGACTGTTAGACTTTAAGTGTGTTGACTATTTGATTTGGCATGGTGATGTTAAGATTGGTGGGATCTGTTCAGAATATGACTGTCATTTGATACCAACATCAACTGTTTTAAGCATAACTTGCATGCCCTTGTTGTTTGTCTTGAGGATCTGCCATGATTTATTTTGTTAGCATCTGTGGTCATTTTAGTATCAGGCTTGTGTTCTTTGCTGTCAAGACCTGCTTCTCACACTAAACCTGTTTTAAAACTTTTTCATACTAAAAGTTAGTTGGTGAATTGGTAATTGATTTTAAGAGAAATATTTGATCTAGTGTTTGACAAGGGCTTTGTAATAGCCAAACTGTTGTTACCAATAGAGCAAGGCAGTGGGCTGTTGTTTATTTTCTTGTGTAATATCAAGCCTTTTTGTTTTATAACCAAAACAGTTTTTGTTGGATCCTTGCTTTGGCCATGTTCTGTAAGAGTTGGGTCTTCATAAAGACCTGCTGATTGGAATTCATTGTGTGAAACACCAAAGCATACTAACTGCCAGTTTCTGAAGTTTGTTGGTTTCTATTCCTTGAATTCTTTGTTTTGTTTTGCTGTCATGATTGATCCATTGTTTTTTAGTTTGTTTCACTACTGTCTGGTTTTAGACAGTGGCAACTCTTGTTTTGGGGTTTTTCCTAAGATGTACCAAACTAAATTAACATAGGCATCAGAACAAGACAGAACTCATGTTTATTCCCTGACCATGTAAGGTTTAATTTGTTGTGAGAATCATGTTGGATCCTGCCACATGGTACCCTATCTTTGATCGGCTTGCTGTTTTGAACAGATACCTTCAAGATCTCTTTTTGTGAGACCCTTGCATTTAGTGTACAAAAAGGCTTTAACTTGTGGTTTTGGTTTTAACAACTCGTTATTTTGCTGCATGGTGTGTCAAACAAATGATTTTAAAACATGTAGGTGATACACAACAAAATAAACTCACACAAGAAACATAGTTCATTTGTTTGACAATGTATGGAAACCTTGAATATTTCAAAAATATCCTCGCAGTTATGTGAGCACTGAGTTGATTTCAGAAGTTCCAACTTTCGATTGATTTTACTTGTTTTTATGAAACGGTGAAGGTAGAGTTTATCTCTCGCTTAATATATATATTTTCTAGTTGTTTATTTACTGATGTGCTCTAATTGCGCAGGTGTTGAACTTAGAAACTATGGATAAGTCTCGGCACTGGATGATAGTTGGATGTAGTGCATTCACCGGTGAGGGTTTGCTCGAGGGATTTGATTGGTTGGTCCAGGACATAGCATCTAGAATCTACGTGCTCGACTAATTATGGTCATGTCAATATCCATGAAAGGGTTCAAAGTTCAAACTTAGAATTTAAGAGCATTCTTAATCACAATATGCTATCATCAGAAGACATCGATATGCATCTCTAAGATGTTTCACATGGAATTTTTCCTTTTCTATTCAAACATATAATCTAGTCAGTGTACTGAGATTGTTTATTCAAACAAGGATGAAGTTATTGCACGACTTTACAATGAGCTTTTTATAGATTAATATCTATTTTAAATTGATGCTTTGAAGTGTGGTTCATTGTGATTTGTTATAAAGGATGATCATGTAAACAGTCTCAACTAACATTTAGTTATCTATAGCTTCTATTGTCATTCATGTAACTAACGCAAAATTGAATCTATGCCAGCTAAACACCTTGCCTAATTAACCTAAAAGCTTCTATTTCTTAGCTAGTTTAGAGCTCTATATGAGAGAATGATCCTTTTTTTAGATTTTGAAACACTAATTCATTACATTTAAAATAGATTTGGACTTAATCCGGGTTAATAGAATCCTTTCAAAGATTCTGTGTATGAAAAATCTAAATTTAGCAACAGGACAGTGATGCATCAATGTGCAATGACAGGTTCAAACGTGATTTTGTGCCTCAAATTTTCCTTGATAATGTATCTTTAAACGCAAATTTCACTGCACTTTGGTTCAATGGAAGTACTTCTAAGAGAGGTTCTTTCATTCCTAGGTATGACATGTCCAACCTTATGCCATAGCCCTCTACAATACATGGAAAGACGATGGTGGCTGTCAATGAAGTCATTTACTCCACTCTGATTTTGTCTTGTTAAATCACTTGCTACCAATGAAGTCTTTCTCAAGGAAAATCTTGGTTTTTATGGTTACTGATTTCAAGTCAAGGGCAATACTTGCCTCTACTTTCCTTTTTCATGCAAGTAACAATTTACCTATTGTAAATTCGATGACTAGCTCTAATCAATCTTCTCTTTTGAATATTAGGCTGAATCATCATAGCATTAATGTTCAAAAGCATGTTTTGAAACTTAATACTCCATTCACTATGATTGTTTGATTTTTGTTCCTCTTGTTGTTTGGGCAAAACTCACATATTACACACATATTTATCTAATACTACCTACTCTAATCCACTCGAGTTAATATATAGTGTGACCTTTGGGGACCAGCTTCATAGTCTCAACTTCACAAGGCACTCTAATAAAAAAACAAGCTTGTGAAGCCTGTTTTGATAGGCTTACTAGCATTTTACTCCAGTTTGATTTCTTAGCAAGCAAGTGCTCTCTTATTATTTGTATACACAAGAACATATACCAATACTATTTGTATACATGTTGATGTTGGTATATGTTGTTGATGTCATGAAATTGATCATTACAACTTTGCTCTTGTTACATCAGAATTGCTCTGGATTCGATCTTTATGATCTAAACTTGGTATCAAACTCACCATAAGATGTTCACTGTGGCAACATGAGCACCATTGCTCTTGCACACAATCATGATCTAAACTTGGTATCAAACTCACCATAAGATGTTCACTGTGGCAACATGAGCACCATTGCTCTTGCACACAATCACATCTTTCATGCACGTACAAAAGGAGTTACACCTTTTCAGTGTAAACGAAAAAATGCTTCAGAAACAGCTCCAAGTTGTGCATATTCCTAGTCATCAACAATTTGTAGATGTGATGACTAAGGCTCTTCTTCCCTCTAAGTTTGAAGAGTTTTGTGACAAACTCAATGTGTTGTGCAATCAGTTCACCTTCAGTTGAGCTCATGATAAGGGACAAATATGTAAACAGTCTCTCAGCTAACATTTAGTTTGTTACCTATAGCCTCAATCTAGTTAGTTGAAAAAGATTGTTACTAACCAGTAATTGTCACAAATGAATCTATAACAGTTTTAACAGCTCATCGGTTAGCTTGACTAGAAGCATCTATTACCTAGCTACTTTAGAGCTTTATATAAAAGAATGATACTATTTAAATCCTGCAACACAAATTCATTACATTCATAAATAAATAAAAATTGAACTCAATCTGAGATAGTATTGAGATAGTATGTAATACAAATCAGTGCAAATAAAAACATTCGGAAATCATTGAGATAGTATTACAGTCGGCGAAACGTGGTATCTGTTGGAATATAATTGTACAACTGCAGCAGCTATAGAGCTTCCTTTATGAGTTTCTCTGTAAGAGCTTTGGAAAGTCCCATCTCTGTATCAGCTGATCCAACCTATCACAGGGATCGCAGAGCTCATTTGTTAAGAAACCATGAATCCACACTTATGTCACCGTGAAATAAACATTCTCAAGAAAATTAACTCAATTGGCATAGATGTCTGAGAAATGAGTGAAGGCTAGGGCTACAAATATTTTCTTTTTGCAGTCATAAAAGAAAGTCCCAAAAAAGGGAGTATCGAAATATAGGAATTGAAGTGATTCACATCATTAATCGTTTTGAATTTTGGTGGCAACGAGGGTATGATACTCTACTGTGCAAAGAATGCATATTGCAAATGATCTTGTTATTTTGTGCATGTGTATGCTTTTGAGAGTTAGTTACTAACCACCGCATCCACAAAGGGTAACGTCAATGGATGTTCCAGCATCAAACCCCCAGCTACGTTGAAAGTTACTCCGTCATCAATCTGAGAAGCTCCCATCAAATAAGAAAACTCATATAGTATTGGGTTTCACAAGAATTTCCTGAAAGAAAATTTCAAAAGATCAAATGTTTTGAGGAACGGGTTAAAGTACTCTTTTCACCTTCATACTTAGCTCAGTGCAAGGGTGAAAAGTGTACTTGTAAATTTTTTTACCAGATTATGAATGACCTCGTCTGGTATTTCAAGGAAATAAACCTGTCATATAGAGAAAATTTTACAAATGTCAGTCAAATTATCTGTGAAGCCTGAAGAGAAATGCTGAGTTACAGAATAAATTGTGTATCAATGAAAATAACTAGTCACTTTCTCAAGTAGCAGAAACTTGTACCTCTGCACTCTCCCACCCACCATAACGTTTTCCGGTCACAAGATTAGTCACCACAACAGATCCTACCACAGCTGCATGACTACCGGAATATCCTGCAAAATCATTTGTATTTGTGAATGTGACGGCTATATCTGTATATAATTACCAACAATAAAACAAGGGGACTAAATCCATACAAAGTTTTAAGTTTGCAACTCTAAGGTTTTGGGTTCAAGCCTTGCGGGGAGCTGTTTTTTTATTTTTAGTACTTTGTTTATTTTACTTCCCTTTTTTTTTCTTTTTTTTTCTTTTATTTATTTTGTTTTAAAATAATTTTTGATTACTATAAAATTCTTAAAAAATCTTATCTTTTATATTTTAATGAGCCATTTTATTTTTCTTTTATTTTAATTCTCATCTTATTTTCTTTTTTATTATTTGGGCTTTTTAGGCCGTTTTAAAACTATTTAATAAAAGAATCATTTATCTTTGTATTGAATTAAAAAGAGAGGATTAAGTGTAGAATTCTTTCTCTCCGAGTGTTGGGATGCTCACTGTAGTGTGGGTGGTCTCGATACTCGTCATTCAATACGAAGACACGACTTTATTCACCACCTCTCACTTTCCACAACCTCCCTTCCGCAACCTTTCTCACCTAAAACCTCGGTCCAGTACCGAGCGTATTTTCAAACTTCTTTTCATAACAAAAACTTGAATGGTCGTGGAGTGGTTAGGCGTAGGCCTTCTCCTATCCCGAGTGCTTGACGTTTACCGTAGGGTTCTCTGTCGTAAAGCACTTGCCATTCAAAACCAAAAATACTTTAATAAGAGAATGAAGTTCTCTTTGTGTTGAATTAAAGAGAGAGGATTGAGTGTAGACCTCTTCCTCTTCGAGCGTCAGAATACTCACTGTAGTGTGTGTGGTCTTGATACTCGTCTTTCAATACGAAGACGCTACGTTCGCCACACATTTTCATAACAAAAACTTTGAGATAAAGAATTGGGTACTACCCGTAGGGATTACTATCCGAGGATTCATCTCACCCCTAAAAAACAATTCAACCAATCAAACGTGACACCTTGCCTCGCATGGCGAAAACCAATCTTTCAAAAAGGATATGTTATGTTCGTTCTACCGCAAACAGGTAACGCTTAAGTCTCCTCACATGCGAGCAGCAATACACCTAAACTGCTAGAATGCGCACGATAGCATCACCCACAAATTCATTAACAAACCGTAGGCCGAACTACGGCTACTCTGATTCTTTACTTCTTTTAAGTAAAGATACGTAGGCACAAGAGCCACAATCCTTGCCGAGCACATTCCCCCAATATCTGTAGTTCCCCGAACTACGTCGACTCTGACTTTCTCATATCTATTGAGAATACGTAGGCATAGGACTGCGAAGTCCTACCGAGTCTGTTCTTTCTCTTTTCTTCCCCGTTATCCCTCCTTTCTTTGTTTCTAAACCCTCTTTTTTTTATCCTTTGGAAAACAATTTTATAGCATAATATTTTAGCAAATAAATGGTTCCCATCGAGTACGATGGATGCGAGGGGTGCTAATAACTTCCCTTCGCATAACCGGCTTCCGAACCCGTTCTTGGTTGCGAGACCATCTTATCCATTCTTTTCTTAAGGTTTTCTCGATATTTTCCTTTTCCCTCATGGGATAAATAAAGTTCGGTGGCGACTCTTCTGTCCTTTCTTTTCGCCTCCCTGTCGTTGCATTTTTCGAGTAGCGACAGCTGGCGACTCTGCTGGGGACTACAGCGAGCCAGACCTAGTTTGTTTGTCGCATGTGTGATTTATGTGCTTTTATTATTTATATTGTTTTGTTGTGTTTTCTAACTGGTTGGGTTTATTGGGATGGTTTGTGAGGATAAAGATTTATACCCGAGCTTTCTAGTATACACTAAGATTAGGAGGTGGTTTCTTTCTGATTTGCGAGACTTAGGACTCGTTGAGTTGGATCGAATCCCACCGCTCAGATGAGACCCCTTTGGGATGATTATGTC